TAAACAAATTTTAATACATATATGAGATGATCGTAAACGAAAAATAATCAATAAAAAAAGGTACCGGTCCCCGACGTAATAGAAAAACTGCAGCCGGTCCGTCACACTCAAAAGTTTGACGAGCACTGTTCTAACCTGAATCATGGGTAGCGTTGACAGCGCCATCAAGAATTATGGAATACAAATTGCGCATTCCCGCGCGACACTGACATTCCTCAAGTACAAGTAAACAAAGCCGAATAGGTTGAAAAAAGGAACTCTCATAGAATTGAGAATCTGACTTTTGCGACAACTTTCACGCATTGGCGATTAATTGTATTGAAGCTCTCGTTTAAATTATTGGACTTTTAATTGACGAATAAATACAGAATATAGAAAAATCAAAAATATAGATGGAAATAATTATGTAATATTGTTTTTCCTACTATCACCTTTAAGGAAAAAGTACCAAAATCAAAATCAACCTACCAACGTTCCAAATAATTTTCAAAGTACCAGTTTTGGTAAGAAAGTACCAAAATTGGCAACGCTGATTAGTAGTTTTAGTAGTTAGTAGTTGATTACACCAGCTGTTTGCTTTGGCCTATACATATACTCCCCGCTCACAGCACGCTTGTTACACAAACATATGTATACACGCTCTTACAAATATATCTGTGATCATAGGCAATAAGCGCCTAAGTCGAAAAACCTGAATTCGAGAAAAAACGCCTTAAAGGTTTGGATTGTAATGCTAACCTTATGGGGAAACCAAAATATTTTAATCTATAACTTTTTAAATAGCCGGGCTAACGAGATGGGAGTTTCACATAAACGTGGAATAGTAGTTGGAGAAAACGGTAGAATATATAACTCAATTCTTTCTTAAGTCGACTTAAGCGGGTATTGCTTTTGACCACAGATATATAGATATTTATACATAGTTATTTAAATCACTATTACACAGTGTCAATGCTCTTTTATCGCTCAGACAAAACTTTCTTATAAGCTCTACTACTCTGCGGTATTTTGTAATCAAAGTGTATGTACGATCAGTTAGTGCGCGCTTGTTAGTAGAAATAGTTCTATGTAACGCAGAGGGGAATTAACAAAGAAAAGACAGTCTTCAATTTTTATTATTACTTAGTACACAAATTGAGTTTCTTTAGAATTTTTTTTTTAATCTTAGTAATAATATTCCTAACATCGTATATTAAAAAAGTAAAATAAAAAAATGTCTGGTAAAAAAGACGTTATTCCACACACCGTTAATCCTGATCTACTGAGAGAACGTCGTGCAGCCAGTTTTCGGGTATATGAATTCGCATGTTGGTGGCATGGAGGCGCTGAAAAGCTACGCTTCAAGAGAGACTTGGGTAAATAGTGATTTATTGAACTTTGAGCGCTTAAAGTGTGGCTGGCTGGGTGGGCTTTGTCGGTATGCACACACATATGTACATATGTATGTATGCATCAATGTACTATGCATATTTCGTTTGTTGCTTATCAGCTGACGCGTCAATGACAATGATTAAGCATAATTCAATTTATGAACCAAAATATTGTAACCAAAAACAGGTCAAAAGTACGGAGGTACATAAGTTAAAAAAATTAATTAATTTTTCGACGTCGATGTCATTTTTGTATAAAAAATAGCCCTCGTAAGTCCAACTCCAGCTACAAATGACATCGACGTCGACAACCATAATAGGGCAGATTATCAAGCCCCGAAGAATTTTCAGAGTTGGTTACAAAGCCAAAGCAATTATATTTTAGTCTCGCGGCAGCCTAGCAAAAAGTGTTAAGGTTATTCCAATTCATTTTCCACCAGGCAACTGCAGCAGTGGGAAAAAAATATGATTTTATACAGAGCCACACCACCTCTTTCCTGTCGTATCAAGCGTACCCTTTTCCCCAAATTGTCATATAAGTCTAATTAGAAAATGCTTCGATCCATTGAGGTCAGCCTTTCCTTTACCGATCGTTCCACCAGTGATACACACTTTATCTGGATGCATATAACTTTAGATCAGTGTTGGGCAAAGAGAGCTTTTACTCTGCTCGCGCCTATACAAAATGTATAGAAAGCTTATCTAAAGCACTGATAGGCACTGCCTTGCCCGCGGGCGAAGTTCTTTTAAGCTTTCGATACATTTTGTATAGAGGCGAGCAGAGTAAAAGCTCTCCGCCCATCGCTGCTGTAGATCAGCGTTGAGAGCTTTTACTCTGCACGCGCCTATTCAAAGAATGGTTAAAAGAGCTTTGCCCGCGGGCCCGTCACCGCTTTAGATCACTGATGGGCACTGCCTTGCCCGCGGGCTAAGTTCTTTTAAGCTTTCTATACATTTTGTATAGAGGCGAGCAGAGTAAAAGCTCGCTCTGCCCAACGCTGTTTTAGATGCACCTTTCCAAGGGATTTCGAAGATTTCTGAATAATAAGGACTGTTTCAAAGGTCCTTGGTCACAGGGACTAGGTTGCGCATACATATCTCCTCTAAACTTTATCTAATCTAATTGTTGTGGTAATACTGGTATTACTAAAAGGTAAGAAAAATATAGCCATCTGAGAGCAGTCTTGCTACTACCGATCGCAAGCAAAAACAAAAATGCCTGGAGCATTACTTAACTCTTAGTTTTACGAAAGTTAACCTTACGAAATCAAAAGTATGCAAAGTTCTTATCACTGCAAACGATCTTTCTTTTCTAGAACAAGAAATCTTCAAGGATCTGACAGATCATAATACACTGCTGCATTATAAGTCGCATGAGGAAATCTGCGAGATAGCGGTAAAACAATCCATCGAGCTAGCAAAGAAGCTGCGTGCAATGCAGGCCCGCATTAACCCGGGCGGTAATGAAATATGGCCGTAAGACATGAATTTGAACTTTTCAGCCTACGAACACTACTAAACGCTTCACTTTTGATTCACATTTGCAGCAAACTTTACTCGTCGTCCATGGTTTGGGGCGCTGTGCCCGCTGGGCATCCGTTTGCCGTGCAGTACGCCATGATGGTTGATGCGATCAAGAAGCAGGGCACCGACGAACAGTGGGAACGCTTTGGCAAGCGCGTGGAGAATTT